CAGCACAAGAAGTGATAGGTACAGCTCAAAGACGACCACGTAATGGCTGGTTTGATGAGGAGTGCCAGAGGTTGACGGATGAGAAGAACGTTGCCAGAAGCCGGATGTTAGTGTCTGGTACCCGGCTGAACAGAGAGCGGTACAAGGTAGCAAGGGCAGCTGAGAAACGAACCCACCGCAGAAAGAAAAGGCAATACGAAGAACGCGTGATTGCTGAGGCGCAAGAAAGTATGGAACAGAACGATATGCGAAGGTTCTACGCGACTGTCAATGGTGTGCGGAGTAAAACAGCGCCATCTCCCGCCATGTGCAATGACCTTGAGGGGAATTTGCTGACAGATAAAACAATGGTGGCTGCCAGGTGGAAAGAACATTTTGAGACATTGTTGAATGGAGAGAGTGAGGGAGTATCGAGGAACAGAGTAAACATCGCAGACGACGATCAAGCTGTGGAGCCTCCAACGCTAGACGAGGTTAAAAAGGCAATACGTGAGCTGAAAAACAATAAGGCTGCTGGGAAGGACGAGCTCCCGGCCGAACTTTTCAAACACGGAAGTGAGCAGCTGCATCAAGCAATCCACCGTATTCTAACGAAGATATGGGAGGACGAAGAACTGCCTGCTAGCTGGTTGGATGGCCTCATTTGCCCATTATTCAAAAAAGGGCACAGACTCGAGTGCGCCAATTATCGAGGAATAACTCTTCTGAATTCGGCGTACAAAATACTGTCACGCGTTCTGTTTAACAGATTGAGACCGCTTGAGGAGTCCTTCGTCGGTGAATACCAGGCTGGTTTTCGTGAGGGCCGATCAACGACGGATCAAATGTTTACCCTGCGTCAAATCCTTGATAAATTCCGGGAGTACAACTTGCAGACTCACCATCTGTTTATTGATTTCAAAGCAGCATACGATTCAGTGAAGAGAAATGAGCTTTGGCAGATTATGCTAGAACATGGTTTTCCGGCGAAACTAATTAGACTGATTCGCGCAACGCTAGATGGATCGAAATCAAGTGTAAGGGTTGCAGATGAGATTTCGACCTCGTTCGTGACCTTAGATGGATTGAAGCAGGGTGATGCACTTTCAAACTTACTGTTCAACATTGCTCTTGAAGGAGCGATTAGGAGAGCTGGTGTGCAGAGGAACAGTACCATCATCACACGATCGTACATGCTCCTTGCCTTTGCGGACGACATCGATATCATCGGAATTGACCGTAGAGCAGTGGAAGAGGCGTTTGTGCCTTTTAAGAGGGAGACGGCGAGGATTGGGCTCACGATAAGTTCTACCAAAACGAAGTACATGGTAGCCGGTAGACAGCGTGGGAGCAATAGTGGTGTTGGTAGTGTAGTGTTGTTAGATGGTGAACAATTTGAGGTAGTGGAAGAATTTGTGTATCTTGGAACACTAGTGACATGCGATAATGATGTTACCCGCGAGGTGAAGAGACGTATTGCAGCTGCAAGCAGGGCCTTTTACGGATTACGTAGCCAGCTGAAGTCCCGTAGCCTGCAAACGAAAACGAAATTCGCTCTGTATAAGACGCTGATACTTCCGGTAGCCCTCTACGGCCACGAATCGTGGACGTTAAAAGAGTCTGACCGGAGAGCATTTGGTGTCTTCGAGCGTAAGGTGCTGCGAACAATACTCGGCGGTAAACAGGAGAATGGCATCTGGCGGCGTCGCATGAATCACGAGTTGTACCAAGTGTATAACGGTACGGATATAGTGAAGCTTATAAAACACGGCAGACTACGGTGTGCTGGGCATGTAGTGCGGATGCCGGAAGAACGACAAGCAAATATTATATTCAGCAGAGAACCCGGTAGAGGTCGTCGACTCCGGGGTAGACCTCGGACACGTTGGCTATTTGCAGTTGAGGAGGACATCAGGTCGCTAAACGTTCATGGCGACTGGAAGCGATTGGCTCAGGACCGAGTCCAATGGAGAAGAGTACTTCGTTCGGCGTTGAATCAACCTGGCGATTCGTAGCCCATCAAGTATCAAGTAAGCCTAACAAAAAAAAAAATGCTTCTGTAGTAGATTGTTCGAGCTTCTCCTGGTGGTTCTTCCGAACTTCCTCAGGAATTTTGCTCTCATAAGTGGCATGATTACTGCACAGGAAGAACACTTCCGCCTTCATCTTGTTCGACAAGTTGTAACCGCTTCGGGTCAATTGCCAAATTTTAATTGCTTTGAGTTGACCTTGGCCACACGCTGCACAATGTCAACGTCTTTCTGGAGCTTCTCGTTGTGCCAGTTGCATGATTCTAGTTCCGGCTACGGGGCCACGCTAATACTGGCTACCTACTGTGGCTAGCACACGGCAACCGCTAGTACAGCTGCTCTATGATAAAAGGCATGCAGGGCGATAGAAGCTTCCGATCAAGTTTCAAGCAAGTGTAGAACGTCTACCGGGTTAAGACTTTAGCTGCCACGGATCGGATCCACTTCAAGCACTCCAAATAGACATCACATAGATACTACAGCCAAAAGTTGAGGCACGCGCTGGTAGTTTGGGCAAATTCGTACTTCTCGAAGCCCTTGTATGACATGTGGATGGTATTGGCCACCCGGGACAGGATGTTGCTCTTAGAGTAGAATAAAATTATTTTATAAACTTCAAAGTGGAGCGTGACAAACTTACCATGCCATGCAGCACGTCGTACTGCTTCTCTTCGGTGAAGTACATTAGCGCAAACTTAGTCACGTTTCTCAGTTTGGATGCGCATCATGTCCAAGTTGATGTCCCGTTCCTAGCTGTTGTACGAGCACAGGACAAAATACATCGGGTCCGTTCCACGCTCCAGAGTACCGTTTGGGGAGTCTTGTTTCTGGCCGGCCTTGGCTTTCTCGATCTCTCTCGAGTGCAGGTTGGAAACTTATATAGCTGCAGGTGCAGGTCCTTCAGCGAGATGTCGGTAACCACATCCATTGGATCAAACTCACTGGCGTCCGTGAGCATTTATCTCGCTGCAGTTCCGTGTCTCGGTTCACGCAAACCCGATGTATTTTTTTTGTTCAATTGTGGTTTCAGCAAGCAAAACGAAACATGCGAGCTGTCAAAATACCGGGTTGCCAAAAATTTAATTATTCACAAAAATACAACGTCACCATGATGTCCGGCATTGTCGGCACTGCAGACACTCTTGAGTTTATCGTATTGAGTAACAAAATCGACGAAAAACAAATCAAGGAAAAAAAATCTGGTCCTTGGCTGCGATAAACAAAATTGCAGATTTATTACAAGAGTTCTATGCAGGAAAAGTGATGGAATATTATTTCTCCGTACATTTTAACCAATATCTCCATATAAATTTCAAATCAAAAGCATTTTACTAAAATCAATCTAACTTCATACAGGTTATTCCAATAAAGTCCAAAACTACAACGATAAATCAATCTGTTTAACCACCAGCCAAGATTTTAAAAAATATATCTATTCAGAGATTTGGTTCAAAGGTTTGGAGTATATGTTTTAGAAATAGTGAATTTTTTGAATCATAAATCATATTCCAAATCTCCTTTTCCCTCTCCCGATCCAAACAATTGTCATCCACTAACCTCGAGAAGACCGCGAGTAATCGGTCAAATCCTTTCATTTTAGATTTAAGACATTTATAATGTGTAAAGATTCGATTGAGCCTGTACAAATAAAGTAATTAAAAAAAATCTATTCAGAATGCTTAAAAAAATGTTCCTCTAGGGTGTACGCTCAATTTTGCGATACACTGTTTACTGCCGCTCTTCACATGTCCGAAAATCATCAAGTCGAGATATGAGACATCCAAAGCCTCACATGGGATGATGGGACATCCAATTTAGCCTCACACTTAGAAATAACTAATTTTACACGTGACGGAATCCGTGTTTGTTTTGCCGGCGCCGGTGGTGTAGTGGTAAGCGTGACTGCTTTCCAACACCCCGATGGGTCTGGGTTCAATCCCAGCCGAGATCGGTGGGATTTTTCTGAGGTAAAAAAATCTCTGGTCACGTCTTCCTTCGGAAGGGAAGTAAAGCCGTTGGTTCCGGCCCATGTATGTTGAATGGGTGCGATATCCTACGCAGGTATGGAAGCTGCCTTCCTGCACATTCGATTGCCGTCAATGGATGGCAATCGATGTCCGTCGGTGATTGTGATTGACACTAGATTGCGGAACAGAGACCACCGTAAATAAAGGAAAAAAAGAAAAGAGAAAGGAATCCGTGTTTGACATAAAAGATGAGACGTAAACAAACATGTCATGCAATATTAAGCACTCCGAGACTGAAAAGTTCGTTGCTTGACGTAAAGTACGTTTGATTGAGCTATATTTCGCGTCTGTTATGACTCAAATTTATGTCAAAATTGACGCCCGTATATGTTACTCTTAGAGCACCTAAATTTACAGGATTTTTTTCTAAGTGTGTTTCTTTTCAAGCTTTTTCAGAACAATGTTGTTGATTTCATCCATTATTATGAAAATATGGGTGATAGCTACCATTTGCATTGAAAAACTCAGTTTTGTCAAAAACGGCTATAAGATCGACATGCGAAGAGGGGCAGTATAGCGTACAAGTTATTAACACTAGATTTGGCGTAATTTTAAACGATCCTTCATATAAATTTAAGCGTTATTTCGCATGAATCTGTTATATTGTAATAATTGTATATTTGCTCAGGTTTTAAATTGAGAGCTCCTACGCCTGATGTGCCATTTCTACATTCGTATAAAATGTTTGGCAAGTGCAATGATACTCTTTGCCCTGAACAGGAATGTTTAAAAAATATCTCAACAGGACCGACAATCTTGTCAATTGCAAGTGTGCTTCAAAGTACATCGCGGTCATGATTTATGTTACTTTTTTTCCCTGCCATTGGTGCAGGCAATGAAAACCTTCCTATGTCAAAACTGGCACCATTTAACGTGATTCTCAACGGAACATGCATTTCACAAATTGAAATTGAATACTTTCCAATCCTACGGACTTTTTTCCACTCTTCTTCCCCTATTTCAGACGACATGCTGGAACGAAATCGTGATGTTGTCACCCTACACGACATCGATCCATCGTCGCTGAAGCAACTCATAGAATATGCGTACAGTGGAGAAATCACCATCACCGAGGAGAACGTACAGGTAAATGGCCCAACGGTCGTTCACCCACACCCCATCCGTGCATACAACATGGTCGATTGTCGAGCGCTCATTTTTCATGTTTGATTTCCGTTCACTCCTTTCCTCGGTTCAGGTCCTTCTTCCAGCATCCAGCTTGCTCCAGATTCAATCGGTTCGGGAAGCCTGCTGCAAGTTCCTGCTACGCCAGCTGCACCCATCCAACTGTCTGGGGATTCGAAGTTTCGCAGGTATGTACCATTTTCACTAGCAGTAAAACGATTTCGTGTATTGGGTAAATCATTACTGAATTGGTTTCCATCAACGACCTCTCCCCACCCCCACACACACAGGCAGTTATTATCCATTATTCGTTTATGACAGCCAGTGTGTATTATATACACGCAGGTCACCACCATAGTGATACCTAAATAACTCGCCTATCAGTGTCCAGAAATACCCATTGTTTGCTGTCCATTTAATTGGCATTTAGGGGCTAATAATTGCCGTTTTACTGTGGAGACCAAAACCATTTAGCAGCCATAATGTAGCTCATGAACTGTGTGAGGGGATGCCACCACCATCTAGCCTTGGGATATCATGATAGATGGTTGGCTCGGGTACACAATTTGCTCATTATGATTCTACAATGTTTGAATTTTGTCCATGTCGTGTTCCTGTCCACAAAATATGATTTAAAGTAATGATGTTATGAATAAATTTGGTAGAACTTCGAATTCAGATAAATGCTGCGTTCGTCAATCGCTGCATTTTAATTAAATACATGCAAATGATTTTGCAATTCTTTTAGATCGTTGGTGTTCATCAAATTTGAAACCGTTGCATTCATATTTTGAAGTAATTTCAGGCGTAACATTTGATAACGACACAAAAGCATTTGTAAACAAACTTTTTATGGCCCTTTACACGTGAACCAAAGTAGGCCCACGCAAACCAATACCACTTTCGGAAAGATGAGAGTTGCCCCTATCCGATGATGTTGTTGGTTTGCGTAAGCGTACTTCGATTCACGTGTAAATTGCTTTAAAAAGTTTGTTTACAAAAGCTTGTGAGCCGTTATCAAATGTTATGCCTGATTTATGGTATTTCAATCATGAAAATACTAAATGAGCATGAGCATTAGCATGATTGACCGAGGATGCAACTCCGTTATTACCAGATCAGCTGTAATTACACAGATAATCAATAGACGATGCTTGAGACTAGCAATCATCCTCAATATGTAAATACTGGTGATCTAAAAATAGGTAATAACAGAGACGGCCTCGTCTGAATGCTGGTCTAGAAAGGAATGGGACTTCAAACTCGCTTTAATAAAAGCCGAGAACACCTTTGCACTTTTACTGGATCACTGGAATGTTGGATAAAAGGGTTGGGATTGCAGCAGGATTCTTTTTGGTAAACGATATGCTGAGTTGATATCCCAACGATTCAATATCGTAAAGGAGCTAGGGTTTGAACCCACGGTCTTCTGCTCAGTAAGACTCAGTAATAAATAAATAGATAAATAAATAAGCAAAATCGATCGCCACTAGGCCACCGAGCTCCTTATATCACAAAACAATTACAATAAAATATCCGTTCAACTTGTTGTTACTAGTTTTCGATCCCGGCGGCGACTACACCGACGACAACAACAACTGCTCTTAAGAACGATTTGGTATGGATTCCCAATCAACACGTTTTTCCTTCAACTCAAATATTATATCTTTTACGTATCCGTCCCTCCACCCGAATTTCAATACGCTTTATATCATATAACCCTATAATATGTAGGAGCTTCTCATGATTTTCTGCTCAGTAAGCAAAATAGGCCACCGGTTTGAATCCTTCAAATCGATCTTTTACTAAATTCCCTGAACTTTTTCAAAATTCCTTACACATTCCTTATATGAAGTTTTACGCAGCTCTTCAAAATGCTCCGAAATTCGCAAACCATCTACAAAGTGTGTTGCACTTCTACGTTTCTTGTTGATTTTCCACGAAGTTTCACGAACGTACGTAATTTCCCCAACCATTCCATGTTCATGAGGCTTCAAAAAAGTTCTCTGAAATTATATAGTGGTTCCCAATCAATAATGAGCTTCCTTAAATAAAATAATGTTTCCTTAACTTCTACGAAACTCCTCATACTTAAATAAATTTTCCAATTTTACGCAGTTTTTAGGAACTTTTCCAAGTTCCTTGTTTCTCCGCTTTTTTTTTCTGAAGGCCATTCAGGACATTCCCAGAGTTTCTACTAAGTTTCTTCAATTTCTACGATGTTCCCTGAACGTCTTAGAAGTCCTTGAAGTTTTAGGAAGTTCCCAGAAGTTGAAGGAGCGTATTTCGACTACAATGTGCAGTCTTACTCAGTGTCATTCCCACTAAAGAACTTATCAAAATCTAACCACTCATCCCTAGGTATAAAAGTCAAGATCACAGGTATAAAAATGAAACTACAATGTGTTAAATCGGAACCTACCTAACTAATAAAAACCAAAGATTTAAGTAAACTAAAGGAGAAAATATCTATTCAACTCTCTAATAAGGAAAATCCCAAAGGCTTGGTAGCCATCATAATGAAGTAATGAAATTGGGTTGTTAGCGGAATGCTTAAATAAAACAGCAAAAAAAGGTTATCTTCCATTTAATTTCACTTAATTAATTTTGGTATCCATGACAGATACGTATTTCGGCTAGATAATTCTGGAGGGGGTCTGGCCCCCATGGAACCCACATTAGCTACGCCAATGCCTGCGTACCCTACCAAGGAACATTGAAAGTTTTATCGAGGTGTTATAGTATTCTACAAGTCTAAATCATGGTCTACAGAACCTTCATAAAACCTAAAATGTTACTTGGGCTTGAACTTAAAAGAAAATGACAAAAGGTAAGAAATGGGGTGACACCCAACATATCCACACCGGTTTCTATTGACCCACTCGAAACACGTTATGAAAGTTGATTTTCTTTCAAAACATCATAAAAAACCCGCAACAATAATTCGTCGAGATCGATTAAGATTGACAGAACATGGTAAATGGGCAAAAAGTTCGACTCCGAATAAATCACATACCGGACTGCGATCACACGACTAATACGAAATTCAATTTTCATAATGAATAATGGATTTGTTTACAGTCGAATGAGTGCCTTTACGGAGTGTGAGTGTGTATGCCAGTGATATTGTCCTCTTGGGGAAAATACAGAACAGAAAATGTCGTAACTGAAAATGGCAAAGCTCCAATCAACACGAACCCCTCGCGAGTACACCGTGTTCACCGGACTCCCTCTTTCCCTGGGAGGGTGTTGAATGTGAGAGCGGTTTTATCCCTTGCGGAGTACATTTTTCTGATTTCCAGACCGATTCCCCGTTTGATTGACGTTCTTAATTAATCGTTACACTTGTCATGATTGCCCCGAACGGTTGTTTGCTTCTGTCGGATGTGGTGATGATTTATACGATGGAACGTGAAATTCGATTTACTTAATGGATGAGAGGAGTGTGCAAGCGTTTCCAAAAGTAGGACGCATATTAGGCCGTATGAATAAAAAGACTACTTTCCTCTCCCGTGCTTTTCTTACGAGGCGAGTAAAGTAAACTATTTTATTCATACGACATACTCTGCCCTTTTCAGCATAGTTGTCCCATTTGTGAAAACAACAAGCTGAGAAAAACACTGGTGAAGTTTTTTTTTTTCTAAGAACTCTTATGGACGGGAGACCGTTGTTTTGGTATTTTTCGCGACATTTTCTGACCAAAGTAGGTTGTTTATTATGAAGTTATGGTACTTGAAAATCAATTCCCATATATTATGCCTCTCAGGGCAGTATTATCATCATAGATCAAAGTGCAACCCATACAGTACTGGACATAGAAAATAATACACCATAATTTTTGACTCCGCATGAAAGTTCAAAGAGCTGTAACTTTTCAGAATTTGCATAAAACAATATTGAAATTTTGGCTGCTTGTCAATAAAGTATTCAAGATTTGTAGCTTGAAGTATGTATGAAGCACAACCGTAGCAAGTCAAACTATTGTTACTTTTTTCGTTGTGAACGGAATGAATAAAATTTTGAGCAGTTTAAAAGAACTATATTATGGCTACCTACAAATGCTAAAAATTACACAAATTTGGAATAAATTATTGTCAAATAAGATGCGATTTACCAATCAAGTCGCAAATAATACTTATCAGCAGCCAAATATTTCAAAGTTTTGATGAAGATGCTGAAAAGTAACAGTTCTTCGAACTTGCATGGAGAGAAAAAAAAAGCACGGTGTATTATTTGTTATGTCCAATACCGTATGCTACATATTGCAATCAATAGTTCATCAATTCCCACTAAACCGTATAATCGATTGCGCTTCCGGTCCGTAATGCCGAACCATGCATTCCATTTCCCATTCGCATCCATTCAGGAAATTTGGTCCTCATGCATTATTCAATAGTTTCATATCACGTACATCCGATTCATGCCATCACTAATATGCTGACTGTCGACGTTCCTTCAGCTACGGACCAAAAGCCATTAGAGTTCAGTAGTGGGAGAGGGTGTATCCAGCTCAGCTCTGCCTTTTCTTTGCCAACGTTTCCATGCCTTTTATGCTATATTAGCACGTAATGTTAGTGTTCCAGGCCGAAACCGCGACACGACTCATGTTTCTGTTCTCTGCTACATCATTTTCCATTCTTTCCATTTCCAGATGCCCACTCGTGCAAGGAACTTCACTCACGTTCGCATCGTTATGCTCTGCAAAACTTTCAACAAGTTGTCGGAACGGAGGAATTTTTATTGCTAGGATTTAATGAGGTAAATAAACATCCACTTTACCAGTAACCATACTAGTATCGACTGACCCGCATCGCCGCCTACGGGAAATGAGGTGTAGGGATTACCGACCCCCCAAGAAAAGATTTACTACAAAACTAATTCATCCCTAAAAATATAAACACACCTCCATGAATACACCGCTAGGGAACCGTTCGGTCGTTTATAAGGGGGAATTTCCCGCACCGACCGAAAAGATTTACTACAATGAACATATACATACATCATGCAACCTTCGAAAGCTTTCCCACCCCCTTCTTCTGTTATGTAACTGAACGGAAGAAAAGCTCAAGCGAAGGGGAACATTAAATTTGCCCGAAAGTTACCGTGGCTAGATCCGTAAAATGTAATTTCCCATATAATATATGCATGTAAACAACCATGCAAGGCCACGGGGACGAGAAAGTAAGGTACAACGGTACAACTCTTGAACAACTTGCGTGTAAGTGTGCTGATGGGACTCAATCAAATGATTCGCTATAATAGGGTCAAGTGTTTATAGGTCCCTTTTCGGTTAGCGAGCTCGGTAAGGAGAACTTATACAAAACACCCCTCGGAGCCATTTATCCGTGAGTAAAAATTGATGAAAATCTTTATAACTAGTTTGGAGTGAATTGTTTACATGTGCAAAATTTCATAACAATCGGTTCAGTAGTTGTTGAAATGTCATCGAAACAAGAAGAAAATCGCCGGAGAATTTCACGCGCCGTCATGGAAAATCCACTGCGACCATGAGATGGATCGGAAGACAACTGGGAATCACCCATACAACTGTGTCTCGGGTGGTAAAATCGTTTAAGGAGTCCCAGACGTCCGAGCGGCGGGCTGGAAGTGAAAGAAAATCAAAGACAGCTGACCCTGTGAAGGCCCGGAAGGTGTTGGATTATTTCAAACGTAATCCGAACCTTTCGATTCGCGACGCGGCTCTGAAGGCAAAGTGTTCCGCCTGGTTCGTTCAGCAAACCATGAAACGAGCTGGGCTTCGTGTATTATAGGTCCGGAAGGCACCGAACCGGCGTGATCAAAAAAACACGGCGGCCAAATTCCGCGCAAGGAAGCTGTATCGAGAGTGGTTAACGAAACCGATGTGTGTGGTTATGGATGAAGAAACCTACATAAAGGCAGACGCAAAGCAGATACCGGGGCTGGAGTTCTACGTTGCCAAATCACGGTTTGATGTTCCGAAAGACATAAGGAAGAAGAAAATGGACAAATTCCTTAAAAAAATACTTGCTCTGGCTGGCCATATGCAGAGCTGGTAAATATCACAGCCGTCATGTGACAATGAGAAAACAGGCCCTCTCACTATCACGAGACGAAACTACCTATCATTGGCATTCTTGTCATTTTCCAATGATTAAGCACTCATGAGAATATTTTTTGTACGGTTTTGACATCAGCATTTCTAACTGATTTAGATGAATTAAGGCAAGCAACCGTATTTAATCGATAGAGTGAATATATTATTAAGATTTTCTCGGAACTAGTAACATTAATAGCAATAAATGAGCTAGTAATTACGATAAACACAACACTGTCACGTTCTGTCATGACAAAAAATTTGATGAGATTTTGAAGAATATATCGCGTGAGATCTTTCATTGAAAATAACATTTGCCAACCCTGGCCATATGCCAATGCGGTAAACTGAGTAAACCGTACATCACAATGGGTACCATCAACAGCGAAATTTCATCGCACCGAGTGCCTCCAGAAGCGTCTGTTGCCCTTCCTGCGGTTCCACGGAGGCGAGACATTATTTTGGCCGGAGACAATAACGTTGTTTTTTAACCAAAAACCGCCAACCCCCCAAATTCACCAGAGATTCATCCGGTGGAAAGATTTTGGGCCATAATGAAGGCCAAAGTTCGAAAATCGTCCAAGGTGTTTGAGAACGAGCTGGAGTTGAAGAAAGAATGGATGAAAGTGACCAAAAAGGTCGGCTCCACCATTGCACAAAATGTAATGAGGGGTCTTAAGGGAAAGGTGCGGGCTTTCAGCGATGCAAAGGAAATTGAATAAAGTAATAATGCCGAAACATAATCCATGTGTATTATTTCATTCCCTGAACGTTTCAAGAAAATCCGACTTAAAATAAATGTTTGGCGAACACTTTTGTCTGGTGCATTTTTTCGAGTACAGGCCTTAGTGCAAGTAAAACACATAAATACTGTTGACGTAGCTAATGAGAGGTCACCCAATTCTTGTTTTTTGCACATTTTTTTATCCATTCATTTATTTGGAAGGCTCAACCACGTTAGCTTTACGGAGCCGATTAATAAATTTTTGATAAAAAAAAGCGGGTCATAAATGAGTTAATTTCTTCCTAGGAGGCGACTGCTTGCTGCGGGGGAGGTAGCTCATCGATTCTTCCGGTTCGCCTCCTAGCATCGTGCTATAAGGTACCAGGCGATAACCAGGGTAGTTGATCGATAGCTCGATGACGTCATTTCGTTGGCGTCTGCTATGGGAAATTCTCATAGCAGGCGTTGACGATGGGACGTTGTCGAGTTGTTGAATAGCAACTATCGTGCTAACTCACCGATTACCTGTCGATCTGCCAAATTTGGAAAGACGTCTGCATTGAATTGTCTCATATAATAATATTCCGCCCACTATATCACACGAAATTGCGAGTAGTTGAGTGAAATGGAGATAAGTTAAGCATTGGGTACAGGACCAAGTCTCCCCTGGGTGGTGCCAGAAGATGAGCGCAATAGAATCATCAAGTTGCCATAAGGCACGGAATGAGACTATTGCATGGCTGGGTAGTCAAAGTCTTCCATTCGTTAGTCATTTCAGGTGGATTAGAACAGGTTTAGGTTTAGGGTGGACGTTGGCCAGATTTGGATTTTTCAGATATAATCCTAAATAGGACCTAGATTATTTAATACACTAGTAACCTCAACTTCTGTCACAATGTTTCATTGTGACTAATCAACACTCAATGGGTAAAATATCAAATTTGCGGTAAATTTGAAAAAAGGGAACTTGGAGTGTAGAGTGCACTGCCCACTGGACGATTCTGAAGCCTGACCAAGTGAGTGGGTTACGGGTTTATTTGATTGTACGTCATTTCCAAGTTATATATAGATACATTCATACCATTGGCATTTTGTATTTGAGATAAGACAGAGACAGGATGCGGAGGGCCCGCTTAGGGGGAGCGTAACCCATGTTATGGCTTCCATTTATTAAATAGTTCAGATAGGCTGGAAATGATAGGTTCATGGTGAGAAAATGTACCATATGGTGCCCGTTCACTGATCAAAATTAGATTCAAATCGTCAGGCCCTGCCCTGGAATAAGGGAATTGACGATGATTTGTCAAGTTTCATTTTGCATTTGCATATAATTGTAAGTTTAGGTTTGCTTTTGTAATTGTAAGATAGATAGTTTGCCTCAATTGAAACATTGAGTTAAACAGGACGAATCATGCCTCTAAAATAGTAGTAGTTACAGTGCCGCATTATCTAACTTTTGTTTTGTTTGTTTACATATAACTAATACTAATACCTCCTTGTTTTCTCTCTAATTTGTCTGCTATGTCCCACCATCACGATGAGAGATGAGCTACCGTACATGGTACACGCTCATATACACTCCCAAAATAGTATGCCGCAAGTAAGTATATCACAGAGGCAACTAAAGATCCAGAAACAAAAACCGAAAACGCTGAACGGCAGATTGGTTTACAGTGGTCGACCAGGGTGTGTGCGGATAAATTACAAAATTACAATTAGGGTAGATGTACCAGTTATGGCTGTGCGTTCCTGTTGTGGTGTGTTCCAATCATGGCCTATGGAAATCCTATATGCCATGATTGGAACACAACATAATAGGAGCGTATAGCCATGGCTGGTACATCTACCCTACATCATTATTCCATACATCAGCTTGAATTACGTTGATCGATATTACATTTTTTTTTTGCTGTGCACTACACCACCGGAGCCAGCAAAGTTCAACAATCCATCGTTGCTTATGCCTTTGTTGTCGTTTGGAACCAGTTTTGCGAGGTAGGTGACGATTGTGCGTATTTCTCGCGTAAATTTTGAAAAGGGCCTAGCCTGAACAATACGTAAAGAGCAAATTGAAACATTGTACGTCGCGTGAATGTGGAACTTAATGAAGGCCTAAGTACTTTTTCGTAGTTTTTAGTTTTCGGATTTGACAGATCGTCGGTTACAGTGGCCTGCTTACTGAGCAGAAAAACGCGGTCCCAGGTCCTTACATATCAAAGAGATTTATAGTAAAATCGCTTGTGTATCGTGTATTTTGCGAAACTCGTTGTTGTCGTTGGTTCCGGGTTTGAATGGATACAAAAATTTGAGCAACGGTATTATGTGATATGAGGGGCTCGGTGGCCTTAGAGCAACCGTTTTTGCTTACTGAGCAGAACATCATGAGTCTAATCTCAGGCCCATCCACAATCAAGATTCGTCAATCGTTTTATTTGTTAATATGACTACATGGTAATAACAGCAACTCGGTGATTAAAAAGGTGCTCGTCTGCCTAGTGGCAAACGTTTTTGCTTACTGAGCAGAAGACCGTGGGTTTAGTCCCAAGCTCCTTCGCGTTATATGATCGTTAGGACATTAATTCAGCTTATCGTTTACCAAAACGAACCCTGCTGCAAACCCAACCCTTTTATCCAACATCCCAGTGATTCCTCGTGGAAGTGCAGAGGTGTTCTCGGCTTCCATCAAAGCGAGTGTCATGTCAACACAATCCTTTCTTGACCTGTGTTCGGGCGCGGCCGGCGCTGGTATTGCCTAATTCAAGATCACCAGTTTTTACACATTGAGGATGATTGCTAGTCCCAAGCATCGTCTATTGGTTCTCTGTGTAATTACAGCTGATCTGGCAATAACAGAGTAGCAACCGTGGGCGGTCAATCAAGCTCAAGCTCAAGCTCAAGCTCAAGGAGGCGACTGCTTGCTGCTTGCATTCTCCCGCGCCCGAAACTTTTCCCTTTCTT